TGGAACCCTGCAGGGAAGCGGGATGTCGGGAGAGTGGGGCGGAAGGGCACTGAAAACTGCAGCCGCGTCGAGAGGGGCACGGGACGTGGAGTGGATTGGGATGGAATGGACAAGGGGAAGGCATCAGGAGGTGGGGCGGCAAGGAGTGGGGAAGAGGAACCGGTAGGAGTGCGGAGGAGCGGGGGGCGCACGGAGAATCTGGAGGAGGGGCCAGGAATAATTTTGGAGAAATGCGGACTGATGGGGCGGCCCGGGGAGGGGTGGGCGGAGTGCGAAAAACTGAGGAATAGCATAATGGAGTACGAACGAAATGACAATGGAGATAAAGGGAAAGAGTAAAGAAGACTGGGGAAGAACGTTGAAAAATACGGGCAGGTGGATGCGAGCGGAGACTGCTTCGGAAACCAAGCGCGGGGGGATTGGAAGGCACCCGAGAGCCTCCCATGACCTCTGGGGGGCCTCGGAATGGCCCCGATGACCAGCGAGCAGTTCCGGAGGCCCTGAAAACCTGCTGGAACGCCCCTGGGGCCCCGTCGAGGGCGGCCTTCATTTGAAGCCCGCAGTGAAACCTGGGCCAATGGAGCACGCGCGTCTCATAGGCCGGCGCACCGGGCCCCGGCAAACGGCGGACCGTCGGCCTGGCCAATGGCAACGCTGGCGATGCACGCGCCGACCCGCGGCAACCCGACCCCAAGATGGACAGACAGCGGGCCCACCGCGACGACGACGACCACGACGAGAGGAGGAAGAGGAGGGAGGAGGAGGAGGATGGGGAGGAGGAGGGGGAGGAGGAGGAGGAGGAGGAGGCGGAGGAGGAGGAAGAGAGGGTGAGGAAGGAGGAGGAGGAGGGAGATGGAGGGGGAGGAAAAGGAGGAGGGGGAGGAGGAAGAGGAGGAGGAGGAGGAGGAGGAGGGAGGAGGAGGAGGAGGAGAGGAGGAGGAAGAGGAGGAAGAAAAGGAGGAGGAGGAGGAAGAGGAGGAGGAAGGGAGGGAAGGAGGGAAGGGGGGAGGAAGGGAGGAGGGAGAGGGAGGAGGGCGGGGGCTGAAGGGCCGACAGGCTGGCCCTCGGCAGGCGGCGAGGCAGTCGCACGGATTATCGGCCTGGCTGGTTGAAGGGTCGGAGTGCCGGGCTCCAGGCGGCAGGCGGGCCCCAAGGGGGGCGGCCAGGGATGACGACGACGACGACGACAATGACGCTAAGGGGGGGGAGGGGAGGAGGGGGCAGGGAGGGACGGAGGGACGGGAGGGGCAGCTGCGAAAGGAGAGAAAGAAGACAGAAAGAGAGAGAACGCGATTCTTCAATAAACTGTGAGGAAGTATCAAGCGGGAACCGCGATCCGGTGGTAACTTGCAAGGAAATCCCAAGCGAGAACGCGATTCTTCAAAAACGTGTGAGGAAATATCTGGCGGTAGCCGTTTATTTTTTTTGTAAACCGGGGGCCGACGACGCAGCTTGATCCTCAAGATTTCCCCTGATAAAAAAAACAGGGTGAGAGCCCCGGGAAGGGCACTTCAATCGAAAGGAACAATGTGCACCGGACGGGGGGGTCAACAATAATAATTCTTCATCCGTGAGGGTTCAACAACAACAACAACAACAACAACAGCAGCAACAGCAACAACAGCAGCAACAACAACAATCATTTTAATACTGTTCGCTCTTCCCCCCTCGCGTGTCACTCAACACGTATATCCCGAACCCTCGATGCCCGCCCTCTTCGTCTTCGATCGTGCCCCTTTGAAGTGTATCTTTCTTACCTGCAACGAGTGTATCTCGCGCAGCCCCATAAGGCAGGGAAAGAGAGGACCGATGGAAGGAAGGGACAAAGGGGAGATATGAACATGGAGCACGAAAGAACAGCAGGAAGGGGGGCTAGGAGCAGAAAGCACGCGGCAAGACCTGACGGGCAGATCGGGCGGGTAGACCTTAACGGGCGGGTCGGGAAGGCGGGCCTAGGTGGCCAGGTCGAGCAGGCGGGTTGCCAAAACGTGCGTCCTGCAAAAATCGCAAGGAAGTCTCGAGCGATAGCGCGATTCCCCAATGAACCTTGAAGAAATCTACAGCGAGAACGTGATTCCTGAATGTCGAAGGCGCGGCGTCTGAATAAGCTGCAAGAATGCCCCACGCGAGAGCGTGATTCCTGCATTGATGTAAGAGGAAGTCCCTCGCGACAACGCGATTTGGGAATATACCATGGGGAAATATCAGGCAGGAACCATTGTTGTTATTGTTGTTGTTGTTGTTGTTGTTGTCGTTGTTCAAGTCGGGGGGGGGGGGGGGGGCAGGGCGCAGCTTGAACAGGAAGATTTTCCTCGGTAGAAGCAGCGAACCGAGGGGCACCTCAATTGGAGAAAACTCATATATACGCGGAAGCGTGAGTCCTGCATGAATAACCAAGAAGTCTCGGACGCGCGCGCGATTCTTAAATAAATTGCGAGGACGTCCCGAGCGAGAGCGCGATTCCTGAATGGCAAAGGCGCGGCGCCTGAAAAAATTAGGAGGAGGCCGCTGGCGAGAGCGCGATTCTTGGATACATTGGCACGACGTGCTTAGCGAGGGCGCGATTCCGCCATACATTGCAAGAAGTATCAGGCGGGAACCGTCGTTGTAAACCGGGGGCCAAGGGCGCAGTTTGAGCAGGAAGATTTTCCCGGACAAAGAACAAGGTGGGGGCCCCAGAGGGGGGGGGGGGGCCTCGAATAGAATATCAGCCAGCGTTGACTCCAAATAGACAGGAGGACAGGAGGAAGACGAGAGAAGGAAGGGGGTGGGCGAAAGGAGGGGCGGGGGCAGGACGGGAGGGGCAAACTCAAGCAAGCGCAAGCAGGCAAGCGGAAGCAAGAAAGCGCAAGCGAGCAATGACAAGCAAGCAAGAGCCAGCGATCAAGTGCAAGGGCAAGCAAGGGCAATCAAGAGCAGGCAAGCAAGAGCAAGACAACGAGAGCCAACGATCAAGTGCAAGCAAGCAAGAGCAAGCATGAGACTCGCCATTGGAAGACGCGGGGGGTGGCCATTGGAAATGAGAAGGGGGGGGGGGGGGGGGGGGGGCCCGTCTCCCCTCCTTCACTTTCTCTTCTTCCTCCTATCCCTACCTCACTGCCGCCTACCCCCCTCTACCCCTCTTCCTACCGCTATCCCGCCTTTTTTTAACTCGCATCCCTTATATGAATCAAGGGGGGGGGGGGGGGGCAAATGGCAGGTACTTGAGCTAGGACTCATATTAGGACAAGCCTACTTGAACAAAATACTAATGATATGTTACCAGATGGGGGGGGGGGGGGGGGATAAGCAATAATAATTTTTCAGCCATTCGAGTTCAACCATCCGCACCGCATAACCTCACTTCAGCCACGCGCCCATGGACAGCGAATGACCACTTGCCCCCCCTCACTCTGACGAGTGGCGTGTTGTTGCTATGATCATCGGCGTTTGCGCTCGGCGACGCCTTTTGCCGACGCGCGGGAAACGCCGCGCGTCGGTCGGGAAGAAGTGGGTAAACAAAAACATGAAGTGGGAAGGGGGGGGGGGGGGGGGTTGATTGGGTCCAGGCCCCCCCAGAGAATAACAGAGCACGGCGAAAGCGTGTCGATTCTTGAAGTAAGAAGGCGCTTGAAGTAGATTGGGATCTGGGAATCCAGAAATACCTACTCTCAACGACCGGCCTGTAATTGACCTCGTGGGCATTCGCACGTTCGCCCCGGCGCTGAAACGCCGGGGGAGGCGCGGCCGCCCCCGCGGCGCTGGCGGCGCCCAGGCGCGGGCAGAACAGCGCGGCAGAGCAGCGCGGCAGACGACCAGGACGAACCACTCAACGCCCGAACTTTACGCGCACTAGAAGTGCACCCCGCGAAACGAAAAGGGCCCACGCCCGGGCTGCAGCGAGGCGCCTCGACAGTCCGAAAAGACGGGCGCGTGGAGCAAGGGCCAAGTCGCCAATGGCGACGCGATGTCTTATCATCCATTTACACCCCCTTCCGTAATCCCCCCCCAAGGCCCCGCCAAGGTGCCGATCCATGTCGGACCAGCCCGCAAAAAGACCTACTACCCCCAGAGAAAATCAATGATTTTAGACACTTGGGTCTTCGGGGGGTCCAAAGGGCCTCGAGGCGGCTTCGAGACTGGTCAAGGCGGCCCCAAGACGTCTCAAGGTGGCGCTAAGAAGGATCAGGGGGCCGCCAAGATGGCCTCGCGGGGACCCCCAAAGAGCGCCTTCAGATGCCCCAAGAACCGATTCGCCGAAAGCCTTAAGGATTTTAGCCCTCTCGCATTTTGGATACTCGGGGGCCCTCGACGGCCAAACCGGCCTCCAAGATGACCCCCACGCCGCGCAAGAAACCACCGAGAGCCGGGCGGCGCAAGGGCGGCCCAAGGCGCAAGACGGCGCAAAACGCTCCCGAAGGGCCCGAAACAACGCCCCTAGGAGGCCCCCGAGAGGCCTCTAGGAAGCCCTGAGAGGCCCCCAGATGGCTCCCACTAGTCCCCACGCCGACTGGACTGACTCTACATGGCCTGGACGTTAGGGCCTCGCCCACCGAGCACATTCCGGAAACACCTCGAGAGCCACTCGTCGAGCACGAAGCCGAGGCAGAAGGGGGCAAGGGGGCTGAACTGCAGCGTCCGACTGGGGCGGCGGCGGCGACGGCCCACGAGCCCGTCTCGCTCCTTTTCGGCCAGGCGGGGCGGGCGGTGCAGGAAGCGGATTCCCGACGCGCGCCCGAGGCCCCGCGCGCCCGGGCGCTGGCCCGGGGAAGCCCGACGGGCTGGCCAACAGCCGCGGTCCGCAACTGCCCCGACGGGTGTCCAGGGCAGGCGCCGCGGTCCGCGAGGCACGACGCGGCGGCGGGGCCCTCCTCGGCCCGCAGGGGCCCGCGGCGCCAGCTGCGGGTGTCGGCCGCGTCGGCGCGGCGCCGGCAGCGGCGGCTCGGGGGCCCCTTCGGCCACCTCGAGCGCCGCCAGGCATGCGCGGTCGGCCGGCGGCTCTGCGCAGCGCTGGTCCGACTCGGAGAAGGAGTCGAGCCCTCCCAGCCAACCTCGACTCGACGTCGCCCTGGGCGATGCGCGCCCAGGAGCGCCTTCCTCGAACCAGCTTTACTGAGGCTGCGGCCCGTGTCGAGGTGGCGGCGGCGCCAGGAGATGCCGCGGGCAATCTGGCCGGCGGCCGCCCGTCGACGCGCGCAGGCCAGCCCGAGGTCCACGGCGCGCCCATTCTCGATGGAGAGCATCTCGGACATGTTGCCCCCTAGGCTGAGCGCCCGAGAATCGTGGCGGCCCAGCTGGCGGGCGGCGCGCCGCAGTCCGCCCAGCGCGACGCGGCCCCCCAGCAAGTGAATTGCCCCCCCCCCCCCCCCGGCGCCGCGCGACCTCGACTATGAGCACCCAGCGGGCGGGGTCGACGAGGTCGTCGGGCGCGGCGAGGCCGGCGGGCCGCGCGGCGGGCCCGGGCTGGCCCTCGGGCACCCCTCGGGCGCTCTTGCGCGCCCGCGCAGGGGGGGGGGGGGGGCAGACGGCCACTCCAGCAGCGCCAGGCGTCTCGCCCAGCACCCCGTCCGCGCCGGGGGCCCAGCCGGGCGCGAAGGTGTCCTCCAGCTCGGCGTCGGGGCGCTTGTCGGGGATGAACCTCCAGCGCCCCCGAGTCGCCGCCGGCCGCCGCGACGGATGGGCGCCTGCCCGACGCCTACGCGGAGGGCCGCTGGCTTCTTACTGGTCGGAGCAGAGGGCCGGGTTCGACGTGGGCCTGTCCAGGAAGACCACCGCCTGGAAGATGAGGCCGCGGAAGAGCTGGATCTCGCGTCGGGCCCCAGCCGGCGGCGGGCAGGGGGGCCCTGGGGCCCGCGCGTCAACGAACCAGTAGAGCAGGCGGAAGACGGACAGGGCTGGCCGCAGCAGCAGGCAGCGCTGAATCCAATGCCCCGGGGAGACCCGGATCTGCCAGGCCGCCCTCGGCGCCCCAGGTCGCTCGAGCTCCCGACAGGCAAGGTGGAGGCGCCAGGCGCGATGGTCGGAATGCCGCAGTCGCCCCTGCTTTCCGTCGCGCGCCACCCCCACCGCGCCGAAGCTCGCGGGCGGGCCCTCGACCTCGTGGAACGCGATGCCGGTCGACTTGAACTTGTCCTTGGTGGCCTGCAGCGCCGAGCCCGCGTCGTCCTCAGACAGGCCCGGGACTTTCCCGCGTTCAATGACATGTCATATTCCACGCTCCAACGCAGCCACCGCGAGGGCGACTTATATTTTTCAATGCGCAATCAAATATTTGGGCCATGCTTGTTTCTATGTTGGGCGCTCGTCCATTTGGGCGTTGAACGCGGGCGTTCTTGGATTCGGCGCGCGGAGCCCGCGCCCTCGCGCGAAGACGTCCATTCCTAGAGCCCCGCGAACGCCCCGCCCCGCCGCCGCGCCCTTTCTCTCCAATATTCACCCAACACATGTTCTCGCGCAGCGCCGCAAATGCGTTCCAAGCTCGAAAACTGAAGGCGAAAGCAAATTCGGACTTCTCTCTTTGCGCGCGGACCTTGCGGGCGCGTGCGTGACGAGCGGCAATGTGTGCGCAGTAAACGTGCGACAGTGTCAAGACATAGACCTACTGAATATAGATGCGCGCGCTGAAACATATACAATTCAGGAATGTCTACATTTATATAGCTATATACATAAGCGCTCGTGTGTCTCTTTCCCTATACCTACATGCACATATGAAAATAGTACAAGCCGTGTATCTTTTCATGCACACGCACGTGCATTTATATGTGAGTATGCATGTCTGTATGTATGTGCGTATATGTGTGTACATATATACACGCACCGGGATGCGTGTCTTCTCTGAATCATACATTGATGCGATATCAGAACATCCGATTGGCCTTTATCTTTCGCGGCCACAGCCTCCGATAATACAAATGCAACGCGTGGTCTTCCCCGTTCAGCTTCTTGAAATTGAACCGCGTTTTTCTCGGGCTGGCCCGCGGCGGCGTCCACGAACGCAACTTGGCGTCGTCGTCGGCCGTCGCCGACGCCGCCGTCGTCATCAACCACTTATCGTCCTCAAGCGCGCATAGACACACCCACTCCGCCATCATCACTACTGCCCACCATTGCGAATCATCGTTTTCGCCAGAACCGCACGCGCGCCCACGCAATCGCGCAAGCGCGCGCCCGCACACATACGCAAGAACGCAATCGTAAACTCATCATCGCGCACTAATGCGCTGGTCAGTCCTGTTGCTCTTGAAGTGCGGGAGCCCCATGTCCACTATGGTTATTGACTGTCTGCGTGCTTTGCAATCGTCCCATATTTTACAATGCCCGGGCCCCGCCCCGGCAAATCTGAAACCTGGCGAAGAACCCTGCCAAGTTCAGTTGTCAGTGCCGCAAGTGGGGCAACGCCCGCGTGCGGGCTGTGCCGCTGGGGCCTTTGGCGGAGCTCCCTGCGGTCGGAAATGTCGCCCACGCGCGTGACCGCGACGAAGCGAAATTCGTGCGGGGTGTGCCGGAAGAAAGGAGAGTCGTCAATGGGCCTTAGGTGGAGGCGAACGGCGGCGCCGCTTGGGCTCTAGCTGGAGCTCCCTATGAAGCCGCAAAGCGGACATGTCCAGAAACGGGGGCAACGCCCGCATGCGAACGGTGCCATTGCGACCTTAGTTGGAGCTCCCTATGGGGCCACGAAGCGTGCGAGGGGTGTGCCGAAACGGTGGCGACGCCCACGTGCGAACGGCGCCGCTGGCGTTTTGGGTGGAGGGGAATGTATAGAAACGAGGATGGCGCCCACGTGCGAACGGTGCCCTATGGGACCACGGCAGACGAAACGCGCGAAGCGTATGCCGAAAAGAGGGGCGACGCCCACGCGCGAACGGTGCCGCTTGGGCTTTGAGCCAGATCCACTTCTGGGCGTCGCCCTTGCCCAGCAGCACGCGGTGATGCCACTGGAAGTTCGGGTCGGCTTCGAAGCGGACCAGACACTGACTGAACTGCGTGTCCAGGGCCCGCGTCATGGTGGCACTCAGCCACGAGGAGTGCCAGGAGCCCGACGGCTGCGGCCCAAGCTCGCCGGGGTGGCGACCGAGCCCGCCCCGTCCACGACCACGCCGTCGCTCTCGAGCGCCATCGCCCGACCCCGCGCCGGCACGGCCGCCGGCCAGGGACGGACCAGCCAGACAGCGGAGGCGACGCTCGCGCTCACAGCCACGCCCACCGCGGCCGCGCCGCAGAGGTCGAGGCTCGTGTGGTGCCCGAGCGGGATCGGGCAAGGCGGGCAGGGCTGGCACGGCGTGCCCTGCAGATGCTCCAGCCCGCAGCGCGCCAGCTGCTCGCGGAGCACGGCCACCAGGCCGTCAGAGGCGTCCGAACCCTCGAGCGCGTAGCGGCAGGTGACCTCCGCGATCGCCGGGGGGCTGCCATCAGCCCGGCGCTCAGAGAGGGCGCGGATGACCCATCCACTGGCCACCTGTGCCCACCCAGCCATGAACTCTTCACGGCAGAAAAGGCTTGAGGGGTCAAAGACGGCGGAAGAGGCTGAGAGCCTAGGCACAAGCGCAGCGGAGCAAATGCAATACAGGTTGACCCAGCCCCAAGACCAGCCAATGCGTGATCCATTGCACAAACTATCGCCTTGGCAACTGGATCAGACGCAGTGCACGTGGCCAGTCCACTCCAAGATGCAGGCAAAAGAACGAGCGGAAGGAAAATTACCCTGGCGACGTACCCGACCCCTGCGCAAACGCGGGGCGCAAATAGTTTAGGACACTTTATAAAAGGGGCGATGACGGAACGAGGGTTACATATGTCTGCAGACGGAAGTCGGGACACTCGCAGGACACTGGTTACAGGACAAGGACTAGATAAATCTGATTAGTTACAATCCCTGAGCAACCCTAGCCACTTCGAAGGCGGGGGTCTCAGATCGCAGCCCCCCCAGGATGGCGAGGTCTAATTTGAATCCGCGGTGACCACCCACTGTGCTGGGCCCCCCAGCAGGCCTCGAAAGTGGCGTCAGTTTCGCAGATCGCAGCCCCCCAAGGATGGCGAGGTCTAGTTTGAGTCCGCGGTGAGTACCCACTGTGCTGGGCCCCCCAGCAGGCCTCGAAAGTGGCGACAGTTTCACAGATCGCAGCCCCCCCAGGGATGGCGAGGTCTAATTTGAATCTGCGTGTGGCGTTCATGTGCTGGGCCCCCGCAGCCCTCGAAAGTGGCGGACAGTTTCGCTGATCGCAGCCCCCCCAGGGATGGCGAGTTTAATTTAGTCCGCGGTTGAGTGCCCCTGTTGAGGGGCCACCCAGCAGCCCTCGAAAGTGGCGACGTTTTCACAGATCCGTCAGCCCCCAGGGATGGCCGAGGTCTAATCTTGAATCCTCGTGTGAGCAGCACTGTTGCTGGGCCCCAGCGGCCCTCGAAGAAGTGGCGTCAGTTTCACAGACCGCTCTGCCCCCAGATGGCTCAGGTCTAGTTTGAGTCCGCCTCGACTGCAGTCCACACAACTGTGGATGGGCTCCGAAAGTGGCGACAGTTTCACAGATCGCAGCCCCCCAGGGATGGCGAGGTCTAATTTGAGTCTGCGGTGGGTACCCACTGTGCTGGGCCCCCCAGCAGTCCTCGAAAGTGGCGACAGTTTCACAGATCGCAGACCCCCAGGGGTTTGGCGAGGTCTAATTTGAATCCGGGTGAGTACCACTGGTGTTGGGCCCCCTGCAGGCCTCGAAAGTGGCGACAGTTTCACAGATCGCAGCCCCCCCAGGGATGGCCAGGTCTAATTTAAGCCTGCGGTGAGTTCCCACTGTGCTGGGCCCCCCAGCAGGCCTGGAAAGTGGCGACAGTTTCACAGATCGCAGCCCCCCAGGGATGGCCAGGTCTAACTTGAATCCGCGTTGAGTACCCACTGTGCTGGGCCCCCCAGCAGGCCTGGAAAGTGGCGACAGTTTCGCAGATCGCAGCCCCCCAGGGATGGCGAGGTCTAACTTGAATCCGCGTTGAGTACCCACTGTGCTGGGCCCCCCCGCAGGCCTGGAAAGTGGCGACAGTTTCACAGATCGCAGCCCCCCAGGGATGGCGAGGTCTAATTTGAATCCGCGGTGACCACCCACTGTGCTGGGCCCCCCAGCAGGCCTCGAAAGTGGCGTCAGTTTCACAGATCGCAGCCCCCCAAGGATGGCGAGGTCTAATTTGAGTCCGCGGTGAGTACCCACTGTGCTGGGCCCCCCAGCAGGCCTCGAAAGTGGCGACAATTTCACAGATCGCAGCCCCCCAGGGATGGCGAGGTCAAATTTGAATCCGCGGTGAGTACCCAGTGTGCTGGGCCCCCCAGCATCCCTCGAAAGTGGCGACAGTTTCACAGATCGCAGCCCCCCCAGGGATGGCGAGGTCAAAGGCAGGGGGGAAGAGAGGGACGGGAAGGAAGGAAGGTTCCAGGAAGGTTCGCGCGAGCAGTGCTCTATTCAAAACGAGAACCCAACGCAGGAGGGTTGGGAAATATGAGTGCAGCTCTGAAGATCGCTGGACGGGCGCGAGACCTTGCAAAACCTGGTGCGGCCACAACTCCTGCCCGAACTAGAATGGGGGAGTGCCAGCTTGAGAAAATGCGCGCCTGCATGTAATCGCTCACAGCCGATGCTCGCTCGAGACCTGCGCCCTGGCCGTCCAGCGTCCAGCGGCGACGAGGCGCCCCCCCCCCTGCGAAGAAAGGCAGCAACACACATGAGCGGCAGGACACGTAGGAGGACGGGACGGGGGGAGGAGGCACGACTCCCTGTGACATGGCCTCGTCCTGGACACGCCAGCGCATCTCCAGGTGCTCCTCGGAACCTCCAAGCTCCCTAGACCACATGGCGGATTGATTGTGCAATCCGTGGTCCCATGTGCTCTTCACCTTCCCCGTGGCCGATTCTCTCATCACGGGTCGTTTTCTAATGGGCCCGGGGCCCGAAAATGGCTCCCAGAACGTCTTCGAAGCAACGCATCTCTCGTTGCCCCGGGCCGCTTAACTTCGCGGCGTATGCGCCGAAGTCTTCGCGCCCTCGCGGAACCCCTGTGGAGAAGGGCAGCTTTCCGACCCAAACCGCGACAGACGACGCGCGATACCATTTAAGGATGCAGGGTTGACTGCCTACCAGACCACCCCAACCCAACCCGAAGACCCGAATTTCGGGTTGGGGGGGGGT